TAACAGATACACACTTGTATATATTCTTTCTCTAATATGCAGAGAAGAGATGACGGAATAATAATATTCTGAGGAGGCTATCATTCATCAGCTCCTCTTTCAATTTTGTGTCTTTCTATTTTATGAAATTCCTTTTTTGTCGGCTGCTTTGATCCTTTTCAGCTTACAAAAATAAAATAAGTATGGAAAAGACCAGAATTTTAATTGAGAAAATTAAATTATAGTTTTTGGAGAAGATAGTTTGTTAAATGCATGCAACAATAAATCGGGCAAAAATCGTCTCAGTACACACCTTAGCTTGTCCTTCTTTCTTGGGCTCTTCATTAAAAGCACTACCTCTCTATCTCTTTCTTTAATTTTCAGCATCAAGAAAACTTTCATTTTGGAACACCTATGGATTACATGTTATGGATGCATTTCCTCTTTACATGTTATGGATGCATTTCCTCTTCCTTCACATTTTGTTTGGAAAGGAGAGCGAGGAAAATAATGAAGAAAAATAATGAGAAATTGTTAATTTTCTTTCCATAGTTATTTTACACCCTTGTGTTTGGATAATGATGAAGGAAAGAAAATAAATTAATTTCCTTTATTTGGGAAAGGACAAAATTATAGAGGAAAAAAATATTATTATTGATATTTTGGTATTTTAACCTCACCTATCTTTTTAACAATGTATCTTTTTTTTCCCTTTTTGATAAAAAATAGACACAATATCAATCTAATTTAACTTAATACCTTAATTCTATTGTGTAATTATTTAATTAATATAAATAATACCTTAATTCTATTGTGTAATTATTTAATTAATATAAAAATAGTAAAGGCAACTGGAGTAAACAAAAATCAATATAAATTAAAATAAAAATATCAAAACACAAATCAAATTTAACCACAAAAAGAAAAAAGAGAAAAAAGAAAATAAAATCATACCCTCTACTCAATCTAATTCAAATCAAAAAATAAAAATAAAAGTTGGGGTATTTCGTTAATTGCATAAAAATTAGAAGAACTCGTACTTTTCACCATTATTTTCTCTCCTAAACGAAGAGATTCTATCTGTATGGGCCAGGGAAGAAAATAAATTAATGTTTCCTTCATTATTTTTTCTTATTTTTCAAACAAGGTAAAATTATTTTCCACGTCTATTTTTCTCAAACATTTTCATTCTTTCAAAAAAATACCTCTATTCAAACAGACTATACGAATTTGTGTGGTGGGAGTGACGGTGCCATATACGAACCTTTGGCTATGAGGTTTGCAGTAAAGTTAATGGTCTGAGATAAGGGAAGCAGAGTGGTGTGGACATGATAGAACACAATAGTACAAAGAGTATTTTTGGCTTAATTTTAAATTCTATCTCTTTTTACCCTTCTTTTTTCTATTGATTTAATGGCAAAAAATACTAAAATATAACGGAATGACTAAATGTTACGATAGACTAAACATATAAGGATTTCAAAAAACATTTCTAAAAAAGTAGATATAAAGTAATTGTATTTCCATAAAGGAACATAATAGTAATTTTTCTTAATAGAAAATTGCCAAATGGCATAAAAATATTTAAAAGATAAGATGTTCACGTATATGTAAGTTACTATACTTCCATTAACAATTAACTACTAGCATAATGATAGTACATAAATTGTATAGGTGAATTATTATTTAGTTTTTTTTGCAAAGTGCCATTAAAATTTTGATGAAGTAGCGTTAAATTTTTTTCTCTTTTGTGCCATTAGGGATTCCTTACAGATATACAAATGTTAATGAAATTATAGATTTATGAATATAATATTGAAATTTTTATGATTGTGTTAATATTATTTCTTAATACTCTCTCCGTCTCATTTTAATTTTTATGATTGTGTTAATATTATTTCTTAATACTCTCTCCGTCTCATTTTGTTTGCTTATTATTCCTTTTTTTGAATGTCTAAAATGTTTAAGAGATTTCTAAATTTAGATACCCATGATAATCTTTATGATCTTTGGTTAAACGAGGGACTTTTATTAATATCTTCAATGAATTAATGGTAAAAAAAAAAAGGAAAATTAACTTTTATTGACTAAATTCTTAATACGTGTATTTTATCAACCATGCAAATAAAACGGTACGAAGGGAGTAATATTTTATATTTTTAATTTTACATAGAAGAATTTATGCGCAGTTATTTTTATTTTTATTTGGGAAAATTATTATTTAGTCCCTCAGGTTTTACATAATTATCTAACTAATCTCGACGTTTAATGTATTATATAACTAGTCCCAGACATTTAACTCCGTCTAATTAAAAGGTCCTTCCGTAATTGAAGTTAAAAACAAAGACAGATATTTTATAATGACGAAGTATGCCCTTACTCAACTGTGCATGAAAATAAAGGAGGTTTGACGAAATTTCATTCTCACAAAACGCAGAGAAAGAAAAAAAGGGGAAAAACAAAAGCTCCTCTCCGTTTCATTTGTAGGTAACAAGAGACAACCTATATGTCTTCTTCAAGCACAGCCAATGGAGCATGGGAAGGAAGGTATGTGAATATGTATTGGTGTGTCCTCTATTCTCCATTATCATCATTTCGTCTCTTCTCTATTTCAACGATGTCTACAGCCATTTCTCAGATCCACTCCCTTTCTCGACATCTCGACATCTACCCTAAATTTTCTTCACCGGAGGTATTTCTGCTTCCTCTTTTATGCTTTTTTTTTCTCATTTTCCTTTAAATCATAATGGAGTTCTTAGCTGTTATTGCTTTCAATCTTTCTCTTATTTCATACACACACGTAAATTTCCAATTTCCCATTTCCTTTACCTGAATTGCTATGGGTTAGGCTTTCAGAACTTCAGCAGTTGCTAAGTGATGTTTTTTTCTTCTTGTTTTTTTTCTGATTTTATGGTTCTTAATATTAATATACTCTGTGGGAATTTGTTCAAAGCCCAAGTCGCATGCTGGATGGGCTCAATTAAGTTTTTTTTTTTCTCTGATATATTTTGTGTTTCCACGAATTCTGTACTGTGGCTTTTGTTTTCTCAAACAACCAATGATTTTATTCCTGCAAGTTTTGATTGAGTTAGTTGCGCGATTGAATTCCTCTTAGTGATTTCTATGGTTTTCTTTTTACCTTTGTGTTTGCATTTTATTGCGTGTGTTCTTTTATTATTCTTTTCTTCCTGCTTTACCTATTCTGTTTTGTTTAAATGGGGCGCCAAAGTTTTATTGGTGATAGTTGATTTACAGTTTCAGATCTATCTTTAATATGAGTTTGGTGGTTTTTAGTTTTTGTGTTAAATTCATAAAAGTGTATTGGTCTGTTTAATGCATTTATTTCTGTTTGATGTGGTTTGTTAAAACTAATATTGAATTGGCAATAAATAGTAAATTTCATTGTTATAATATTTTTCCCCAATTTTTGTTATAGTTTATTGCTATAGTTCATCAAATTTGTATCTGTGTTAGAATCTGAGAATCATAGTCCTATTTACTTTGGAACTTTCAAGCAGTCTTCTTTGTTATTAACTCTTATTCTTTTTAGTAATCAACAGCTTGAGAGAGTTTCCCTGGCTTGGAAGGAAGGTCATACTGGTCCACGTCAGCGAGGAAGGGGTGTTTTAGTATTTTAGTCTTCAATTAACGGCAAAAAACCAACTTTTCCGACGGAATGACCTTTTAATTAGACGGAGTTAAACAAGGACCTTTTAATTAGATGAAGTTAAATGTCGGGAACTAGTTATATATTACATTAAACGTCGGAATTAGTTAGATAATTATGTAAAACCTGAGGAATTAAATAATAATTTTCCCTTTTTATTTTTTTGGGAAGAAAACAAACTATTAAAAAGAATAGAAGACTGTTAAACAAGGATGGACCAAAGTGGAAGCTCTAGCAAAACTATGAGCAACCATACTCACACAAGTATTTTGCCAACAAAATAGGATAGTTTTACAATCCAAATAACCAAACCAAGTAATCTAGTAGAAAGACGAGCATAAATAATATTTTGGGAATCAAGGAAATAGTCCCAGCAGAAGGCTAATGAGTATCAATCCAAGAGAGACAAGACCGAAGAGTCTGAGCTTCAAATACGACTGATCTGCCCCTCCAAATCCTCTATTACTGCTCCAAAGCTAAGAAACCCAACTGCATGAAAATAATGTTACTGCAAAGCATCTTTAAATTTTTCCTGAAGCTTGTATTTTTCTGTAAAATCACTGTAATTCTTTGTGCTTTTTCCTGAAGTTTGTAATTCCTCAAAAGTTGCATTTTCTTTTTTCTTTTTTTTAAGTATTTGTTTCAAAAAGAGTTTTGTTTCAAAAAGTCGAAAGTACTCTACAAGCAAGGACGTCAAGATCATAAAAGGAAGAATACGTTCAATGAACAAGAGAAGTCAAAGCTTCAAATCAAATTAAGTCTCCATTGATACTAATTATATTGACTTGGTTATAACCTGTTATATATTTTCCAATTCATGAACTGAGAAATTCCAATAATGCCTGTATTCAGTTCTTCTATTCTTAATTTTTGCAAAAGACTAAATTGTAAACTCCAATATTTTGATGCAGAATTTGAGTTTGGAAATTTGAAGCAATTGCGACTACTTGGAAATTTTCATCTGACAGAACCCTTTTCTCAATCAATAGGACCTTTGAGTTTTAATGGTAGCTGAATTTTTGCACAAAATGTTGCAATCAAAGGATGCTTCCTTTGCATTGCTGAGAGACAGTAATATTGTTGGTCAAGCTCCAAGAATGGGAAAGTTTATTTCTTTAAATTCATGATCTTCAATGCATGGAGCACAAATAAATTCATGATCTTCAATGCATGGAGCACAAACCTCCATTAATTAGCTTTAGCTGTTCAAAAAAAGTTATGGAAAACTTAATGAGAAGTATCACTATTACATTCTTTCTGTTCCAAGCAACCATTATTGGTCTTGAATTCTGCCGTGGAAGCTCCATTGGAGGGTGCATCCAGGGGGAGAGAGAAGCTCTTTTGAAGTTAAAGCATGATCTTACTGATCCATCAAACCGGCTTGGATCTTGGGTTGAGGAGGCAGATTGCTGTAGATGGTATGGAGTTATTTGCCATAACCGGCCATGTCCTTGAGCTCCATCTTGAAAGTTTTTCTGAAGATGAGTATTATGCCTCTGGTGCTACCGCATATTATGGAGAATACCTTGAGAAATCAGCATTTAGAGGTAAGATTAGTGATTCTTTGCTCAATTTGAAGAATTTGAAATATTTGGACTTGAGCAATAATAATTTTGGAGGAATTCCATTTCCTAAATTCCTTGGCTCTATGAGGAGTTTAAGACACCTTAACCTTGATACTACTGGATTTGGGGGAATTATTCCTTATCAACTTGGAAATCTCTCAAATTTGCAATATCTTAGTATCCGTGGTTTTTTGTTGGGTTGTTATGTTGAGAATTTTCATTGGCTTACTGGTATGGTTTCATTAGAATTTCTTGATTTTAATCTTGTAAACCTCAGTCAAGCATCCGATTGGTTGAATATGATCAACACTCTGCCTTCTCTAGTAGAACTACACATTTCATATTGTCGTCTCCCTAATGTTTCTCCTCTCCTAGAAGTCAACTTTTTATCACTTTCCATCCTTGATTTGTCAGGTAACTTTTTGCAATTTCCAGTATTCGATTTTGTTCAAAACATAACTTGGCTTAAGGCACTTTCGATTTTGTTCAAAACATAACTTGGCTTAAGGCACTCGATCTATCTTCAAATTATTTAAATTCGTCAATACCCAACTGGCTATACAGTTTTAGCCATCTTGAACTCCTCAACCTTTGCGACAATCAGTTGCAAGGAAAAATTGCAAGTGGTGTTGGAAAGCTAACTTCTCTTGTCAGTATCGATTAATCTATCAATAACATTGATGGAAAAATTCCTAAATCATTCAAAAGTCTTTGCAATTTAAGGTCAATCTTTTTGTGGCAAGCCAAATTAGGCAAAGAGATAAATGACATCTTCGAGATTCCGTTACCTTGTGTCTCAAATACGCTCGAGGTACTAGACTTAAAAGATTGTCGTCTATCTGGTTATATCCCCAGTTGCATTGGGCACTTTAAAAATCTAGCCAACCTTGCTCTGTCAATTAATTCCATCGTTGGTCCAATTCCTATCTCTATAGGAGATTTGAAATCCATGGAAACACTAGACCTTTCTCAAAACAACTTGAATGGAACTCTCTCTGTGAGCATTGGAGGACTTACGGAGTTAGAAGATCTAAATCTTTCTTATAATGCATTGGAGGGTGATGTTTCTGAAATTCATTTTGAAAATTTCGCTAAATTGTCGGGGTTCTATGCTTCTGGGAACAAAATAAGGTTGAGAGTTAGAAAATTTCGCTAAATTGTCGGGGTTCTATGCTTCTGGGAACAAAATAAGGTTGAGAGTTAGCCCTAACTGGAAACCCCCACCCCATCTTCGCGAGATGGATTTAGGATGTTGGAGTATTGGTCAATTTCTCCACTGGGTTCAGTCATTGAAGGACTTTTGGTATCTAAATTTGTCACACTCAGGAATTGGTAGCCCAATCCCTATTTGGTTTTGGGACTTGTCTTCTAATATTTATTACATAAATATATCTCGCAATCAAATCAGTGGAGTAATTCCAGATAAACCAACTACCCTTACTAGAATTGATGGATTTGATAAAATATGGGTGGACTTGAGTTCAAATAATTTCCAAGGTCCTTTGCCAAACATCTTCTCAAACGTGAGAGCATTATATCTTTCCAATAATTCATTTTCAGGGCCCATATCCAAGTTCTTTTGTTATAAGATGCACGAGCCAAGTAATTTGAGAATTCTTGATCTTGGAGAAAATCTTTTATCAGGAGAGATGCCAGATTGTTGGATGAAATGGAAAAGTTTGGAGTTTATAAATTTAAACAATAACAAACTAAGTGGAAAAATTCCCTGGTCCATTGGAACTTTAACCATGCTTAGATCATTGCACCTCCGCAACAATAGCCTCTCTGGTAAAATTCCATTATCACTTAGAAATTGCACAAAATTATCCACACTGGACTTAGGTGAAAATGAATTGGTCGGAAAAATTCCAACATGGATTGGAGAAACATTTCCGAACATGGTTATTTTCAGTCTTCGCACAAATAAATTTGATGGCCACATACGAAAAAATCTTTGTCAGATGACTTCTTTATACATTTTGGATCTAGCTGATAACAATCTCTCCAGTATCATACCAAGATGTCTCAACAATTTCAGTGCAATGGCAAGTAAGAATGATTCAATAGGTATCCTTCCATAGGGACATGAATCTACATGTCCATTTCTTGAGAGCATGTCACTTGTCACTAAAGGCAAAATGAACGCATATAGCAACATTCTTAAATTTGTAAGAGCTATAGATCTTTCCAAGAATAAATTTTAAGGAGAGATACCTGAGGAAATAACAAGCCTATTAAGCCACACGAATAAGATAAGTTTTATTCTGTTTATAATTCTGTTTGTATAGCTAAGTTCTATTTGTTGTGTACTTATCTTCTTCTACCTATGCTTATCATACTTCTTCCTACCTATGCTTATCATATTGTAACAGCTCTCTCTATTTAAAGAGGTGTATAGCAGAAATAAAATTAATCTCAAAACCCAAATCAATCTCTGAAATCTTATATGGTATCAGAGCCGTAAAAATTACGGTTTTTATTTCTTCTATCTCCTTTCAATTCTGTGAGTAGTCATGACTTCATCTTCAAATAATTCTAATGTTATTCATTCCTCTGGTCGAACGTTAATTTCGTTCAATGCTTCTCAGTTTCCTCTGAAATTGACTTCACAAAATTATCCTTCCTGGCGAGCTCAGGTTGTTCCGATTCTTAGATTTCTTAGAGGGTTGGTATGGTTCACTTTGGGTGATGGTTGAACGAAAGACTTGTTCCCTCCTTCATCCAGTGTATACAAAAAGATGGAAAGAGGTACAAAAAAATACAGATTTTGAAAATTTTGGGAGTGCCCAAGATCATTAATTTTGGTTGCTTCTTATAGGTTGCTTACTAGTTTTTTCACTATGCAATGTTGTTAATTCTGCTGAAAACATGCTGCAGCAAGCTTGGGATCGAATACAAAGCTCATTTGCGAAATAGATCGCAACAAGACTTATTTCTCGTTCGTGAAATTATCTAAATATTAAAAGGGAAACCCGGCCAGTTTCTGAATATTTGCAGATGGTCGATTAAAGCTTATCTTCAGATGATTTGTCCCCTTTGTGAGAGTCTCAGCTTTCTTCCCATTGATTTAATTGATTTAATTATCTATGTTCTGAATGGATTGGACCTGAGTTTAAGGAGATTGCTACGGCTGTGCGTGCTCGAGATTCTGTAATCTCGTTTGAAGAATTAGAAGATAAGCTTCTAGCACATGAGTTATATCTTAAACGCACAGATTCGACTTTTAAAGTGGTGCCACTTATGGCAAATTCTGTTCGGAAAGGATATAACTTTCGTAAATCTGAGGTTACCACTGACAAGTCTCAAATTTCTTCTGAGTCTCAAGGTCATTCTGGACAGTCGAGAGGTTATGGGCAGTCCAAAATTATTTGTCAGATTTGTGAGAAACCTGGTCACTCGTCAAGGCAGTGTTTCAGTGCAAAGAAATTTTTCGAGAATAATTTTCCCCAGCCACGAGCAAATTCAATTCATTCTTCTGCTTCACAAGATAATGGATGGGTCCTTGATACTGGAGCAACTCATCATGTTACCAACGATTTACAGAATCTTTCTCTTCATGCACCGTATGATGGCTTGGATGAGCTCCACTTGACTGATGGTTCAGGTTTGCATCTTTCTCTTCATGCACCGTATGATGGCTTGGATGAGCTCCACTTGACTGATGGTTCAGGTTTGCGTATTACACATGTTGGTTCAAAGTGTCTTTTCTTTCCGTCAAAACATTGCTCTCTTCTTAATGTGTTATGTGTTCCTAAGTCTAAGGAGAACTTGATCTCTGTTTCTGAGTTTTGTTTGAAAAATATTGTTTCAATTGAGTTCTTTTTTGATTGTTTTCTTGTGAAGGATCTAATCACGGGGGAGATCATAACAAGGGGACGAATTAAGGACTCGTTATATCGTCTTTCATCTTTGTCTAAAGATCGATTGGCTTCCTGTCCTCAAGCTTGTGTCAGTGTTCGTGCCTCGTCGTCGTTTTGGCATAATCGTCTGGGTCATCCGTCCAAGAAATTTCTAGTTATATTTTGTCTAAATTTCATTTACCTGTCTCTCAAAATGAAGAATTTTATTGTGATTCTTATCATTGTAATAAGAGTCATAGACTCGCCTTTGGAAAGTCGTCTTTGTCCAGTTCTCGTCCTTTAGAGTTAATATATTCTGATTTATGGGGTCCAATTTATGGGGTCCAACCACGTTGTATTGAATCTGTTGAGTCGGTTTAAGTATTATATTATCTTTGTTGATCATTTCACAAAGTACATATTGGTTTATCCATTGAAAATTTCAAAAATCAGATGTTTCCAAATTTTTCCTGTGCCAAAATTTTTCCTGTGTTTCAGAAGCTTGTTGAGAATAAATTTTCCAGTAAGATTGTTTCTATTTATACTGATGGGGGAGGTGAATATATAGCTTTGGGCTCGATTTTTAAAAATCATGGTATTTCTCATCTACAAACACCACCCCACACTCCTCAACGTAATGGGGCAGCAGAACGTAGACATAGGCATCTCGTTGAGACTGGACTCACTCTTCTTCAAACTGCATCTTTACCCAAAACATTCTGGTCTTATGCATTCCAAACTGCGGCATACTTAATTAATAGACCACCAACTCCAATTCTTGGTTGTTTGTCTCCATATTACAAACTTTTTGGTCACCATCCAAATTATAAAAGTCTAAGGGTATTCGGCTGCTTGTGTTACCCATGTCTTAGGCCTTATGCTAAAACTAAATTTGATCTTAAGTCTAAGCCATGTATCTTTTTAGGATACTCCTTCACACAAAGTGCTTATCTTTGCTTTGATTATACTGTTGGAAGAATTTATGTTTCTAGACATGTGCAGTTTGTTGGAAGAATTTATGTTTCTAGACATGTGCAGTTTTGTGAGATAAAATTTCTAGGACACGACAAGCTATCAGATGTTTCGGTTTCTAAAGAATCTTGGTATGATTTTTATAATGATACTTCTACTGTCTCTGTTCAATCGGTTCCTTTCTGTCCTATGGTTGGAAATTCTACTTCTTCAATTGATATTGTTTTAGTTGGGTCAGCTGCTCCTATTTCCTTACCTGTAGATGCGGCTGCTACTGTTTCTCTTTCTTCTCCAATCAGTGCAGCTGCTACAAATGATGAGTCTGTTGCGTCAGTTGTTGAGTCTGCTCCAGTTCCTTTGCAAGTTGCTATACCAGATTCTGTTCCTGTTTCTAATCCCATTGCTCGTACGCATCCTATGCGAACTAGGTCTCAAAATAATATCTTTAAGCCCAAACGTCTTTATCTAGCGACTAAGTATCCATTACCTTCTAATATTGAACCAACATGTGTTTCGCAAGCTGTTAATCATAATAAATGGCGTGCTGTCATGTCTGATGAATATAATGCATTGATTTCTAATGGAACTTGGTTGTTAGTGCCTCCTAACAGGAATCAGAATTTGTGGGGTGCAAATGGGTTTTTCGGCTGAAAAGGAATCCAGATGGGAGTATTGCGAAGTGTAAAGCTCGTTTAGTCTCTAAAGGATACAGTCAACGGCCTGGGGTGGATTTTGAAGAAACGTTCAATCCTGTTTTAAAACCCGCCACAATTCGAATTATTCTTACAATTGCAGTCAAGAACAAGTGGGAAATAAGTCAATTGGATGTTAATGACGCTTTTCTTCATGGTCCTTTACAGGAGGAAGTTTATATGCAGGAGCCACCCGGATTTGTTGATAGTTCGAAACCAGCATTTGTTTGTAAATTGGTGAAGGCGCTGTATGGATTTCGACAAGTTCCTCGTGCTTGGTATCAAGCCTTGCGTAAGTGTGCTTTGGATTTTGGGTTTGTTCAATCTAAGTGTGATCATTCTTTGTTTCTATATTGTAAAGTGTGATCATTCTTTGTTTCTATATTGTAAAGATGGAGTGACTTGCTATTTCTTACTATATGTTGATGATCTGCTTATTATTGGAAATAGCAGTGATTTTATTCGGATGTTTGAGAAAGAACTTGCTTCCTGTTTTTCACTCAAGGAGCCACAACCTATACATTTGTTTTTGGGGATTGATATTCATCGTTGTAAAGATGGTCTATTTCTTTCTCAACACCACTATATCACCAGGTTATTAACGGTAGCACAAATGGAAGGTTCTAAGCCAGTAAAGACTCCCGTTGCCATAGCACCAAATCTGGTTAAAAATGATGATAGCAGATAATAACGCCAGATTAGTTGTGATGCTACCTGTTTTAGGAAATTGGTAAGGCGCTCTAACCAAATATCTGGCCCTGAAAGGAAATTGGTAGGCGCTCTACAATATCTGGCCTGAACGCGCCCGGATATATGTTATTCAGTAAATAAATTGTCGCAATTTATGCAGAAACCTACTGCACAACATTGGGACATGCTCAAGCACTTGATGCGATATTTGAAGTCCACGCTAGATCATAGAATTTTAATATCCAATCAAACTTCTTTAAAATTTCATGCATTTTCAGATGCGGATTGGGCAGGAGATTCGGCTGATCGAACATCAACGACTGGGTTTGTTTTATATTTGTTATCAGTTCCTATTTCTTGGTCCTCTAGGAAGCAAAAATCTGTTGCCCGATCATCAACAGAAGCCGAATATAGAGCAGTGGCAGCGGCAACTTCTGAAATTATTTGGGTCCAGTCGTTATTAACTGAGTTAGGGTGTTTAAATGAGTCGATTAAATGTACAGTGTTATATTGTGATAATATTTCGGCAACCTATGCTTGTCAAAATCCAATGTATCATTCCAAGATGAAGCATATAGAGATTGATATCCATTTTGTTCGAGATTTGGTTCAGAAAGGCAAGATTCGAGTAGCCCATGTATCTTCTAAAGATTAGCTAGCGGATTTGTTAACAAAGGTACTGTCGAAAACAATATTTGTTACAAATCAATACAAGATTGGTGTTCGTTGTGGGAACACAATCTTGCGGGGGAGTATTAAGCCACACGAATAAGATAAGTTTTATTCTGTTTATAATTCTGTTTGTATAGCTAAGTTCTATTTGTTGTGTACTTATCTTCTTCTACCTATGCTTATCATACTGTAACAGCTCTCTCTATTTGAAGAGGTGTATAGCAGAAATAGAATTAATCTCAAAACCCAAATCAATCTCTGAAATCTTATAAAGCCTAAAAGGGTTAAGATATTTGAACTTGTCCCATAATCTATTGACTGGAAGAATCCGTACAAATATAGGTAATATGGGATCATTAGAATCTATAGATTGCTCTCAGAATCATCTGTTCGGCGAAATACCACAAATTATCGCAAAGCTTACATTTCTGAACCTTTTGAACTTATCCTTCAACAATT